TCTTCTCCTTTGCTTAATAAAATGCGAGTTATTATCTAAAGCATTTTTACGCAATAGAGTTTGTGATTACTTGTGTGACCCTGAATTGAGATATTTAGGTTATTTAACAGAATCGGAATATGTTTTGGATTTGCTTTATGAGAGTGCAGTTTTGAATTAGAGTACGCATCCAAACAAAAATAATTAAAAAAAGAAAATACTAAAAAGAGATATATGTAAACAGTCGCAAGAGTTGAATAGTCAATCAAATATTTAATTAATAAAAATAATAAAATAAATTTGTTGTTGTAATTCACTACTGTTTGAAACGTCTTTGATAATTAAGAATCATCTAATTCTTTATTATGTGTACTGCTATCGACAATATAAAGTTCTTCAAGTTTAAAAGCTAAAGAAATATAGGTGCGAAAGAAAAATTATAGAAACTTTTGTTAATATTATTATATATAATATTAAGGTCCTATGCTCCAGAAGAAGATAGAGGAATTAAGAAAAATAATATATAATATTATATATATGTTTTTATAAATAATATTATGATTTGATTGATGGGTTTCGGTGTTAAGAATATCTTAGTTTAATCAAAGCCAAATCTAAGAATTTTACTTATGTTAATTCAATATTTTATAATTTATAATTTGTAAAAAAAACGAAGGACCTTGTTGTATAAAGTTTTAAATAAAACTATATATATAAATAAAATATATATATATATATATATAAATCCAATGGTTTAACTACAAGAAAGTCGCAGAGTATAACACATTCCTTTTCATATATTCTTTAGTATCTTTAGTATTAAAAGAAGATCATTAATATTCTCAATTTAACTACAGAATTGTGTAGGGAGAGCGACACATTTTATTGATATAGTGAGCAAGGTGTTGGGGAGATCTATAGGAAGAAGCCTGAAGAACTCTAATAGGAGATTCCTCGGTGTGCTAAATATTGGGAGGGAGCTTATGGCTAAGAGTTTTATATCTGCACGTCAAAGACAAAGTTAGTATTCAATAAAATATATAAATGTAAATATATAGATTTGAAAGATTTGAAACTATTGTCCAATTCTTAGTACCATTAAAAGTTATTAAATAAAAATTACTTATCAAAATAATAAAACCCATAAAGTTAATGACAAAGTCCAAATGTTTGCTGCACGTGACTGCAGTTTTCCGTTCACCATCGTCCACACTTGATTTGCAGTCAAGACATCCTTAAGCACCGTCTGTGCTGGCACCTCATGCATCCAAAACAATCCGGCTCATCACACTCTCCAGCTTTTAGTTTTCATTTAAATTGAAAAATACCGTAAAAAAAACAATGGAAGCGGCTTTGGTACAACGTTTGTCGGCGTGTGTCCTTTTACGTGCGCTTTTTTGCATAATTTTGCATTTTCACTTTATGCTTTTTCCATAAGCTGAAACAATACGAGAACAATCCAAAGGGGCTGGCAAAATGAACAGAAAGAAAAAAATCGGAAAATAAAATTCAAATTCCAACAAAAACTTTTTCACTCAACGCTAGACGAGATTTGTTGCTACACATCGGAATGTGTTGGCGCTTCTGCAATGATTTGGAACTAAATGAACGACTTTTTGTTTAAATTTTGAGTTTGGGTTGGAGGGGGACTCGTGCTCTGCTCGATAGCATCACACTTGAAAGTGCTCCCCGTCTGGGAATTATGCGATCAGGCGCAATTGTCGCATTTATTACAAACTTGGCTTTCATTGCGACCAAATGCGGTGAATCGCTACAAACGTAAAATTGGTTGCATTTGTGTAATGTAAAGTTCTGAGACTGCATGTATGTGTTTGTGCGCCTAACTGTGACAGCCGGCATTTAAGTCTACAGCCGCAGCAGACTTTTGTTTGCATACTTTTAGGCATATTTCACTAACAAAAGTCAATGTTAAGGTTGCACTAATGAGTTTTTACTGCATTTCACACTTCAGTGCAAAACTTTTGCTACATTTTAAGTAATGTAAATTTTCCCCTTGATATGAGCATATCTTCTCAGTATTAAAATGGAAATATTTTTATTCAAATGAAAGATTCGAGTGTATTTATTTAATACTTCATGGAAAATAAAGATTTCTAGCAATACATGTATGAAATTTCTTAATTATACTGCATTTATATAGAGCAGTTTGGAAGTGGACGAAAACTACTTTAGAAGAGCTTGAGATTTTTCAATATCATCTATCCATATCTAACATTTTTTTAACAATCCATATCAGTTACATATTCTAACATATTATATCTATGTTAAAAGTGCAATACTTTTTAGTAAACAGTGTAAAAATCACTAGCTTAAACTTTAAAAACTTTTGCTTTAAATACCAATAACTACAATGGATATAATGGATATATCTCGTGTCACTAAGTAATAATTCACCGCGGTGGTCCATTTTATTCAAGCTTTAACTATGTGTATCGCTTAAACAACAGAATACGTGCGTAGTTACCTATTATAAACCTATATTATTCGTTGCATTGGTTGATTTTATATGAGCTTATACTGTACGTACCGCTTTAATTAAAATTTCTAAAAAAGTTTGTAATTGATCCATCCATCGAGTAGACTATTTTTACCGCTTTTTTTCTTTGTTTGAATTGGTTTCTAGAATTACTTATTCCAAGGTATAGTATCTCGAATAAAATAAGACAGATATACTCTAAGATTATTTTCATAGCCTACGTTTTAATATAAGTTTATCAAGTAAGAAATTATTGGTTCTGTGAGTTCAAATCCTGTGAGCTGTTCAATACTAAATCCTAATCAAAATATATGTATGGATTGAAGATTATCTTCATAACTTGGGTTCCTACTTTAGTTGTTCAAGCACGAATATGTGGGTTCAGAGAGCTAGCCACGTAATTTTTAACAGTATTGAATATACAAACAATTTAAAGACTTTGATTTTGTCATTTATAGCATTTTTTGTTATAAAAATGGATCGTTCTAAAATTTACTGGGTTCATATCTTTATATAAGCTCAATGAAATATCAAAAATAAATAAACATTGACCACATATATATTTATTCTGTCCGAGTCCTATCAATGCCATGAGCAATGCAGCTGTCCTTTAACTATTCTCAACATTAATAAATTATAAAACTGTATGATTTTTGTTCCCAAAAATATTAGTTAATTATAATTCTTCGTCAATATATACCACACGTTCTTATCATCTAAATACTGGTATTCCAACTTATTGCGCCTAAAAGTATGCAAAAATTTTCAACAAAACTGTTATGAATATTGCTCAATATTTACATATTGTGGCTACGTAATTTTGATCATCATTGTTATCTCAAAGGGTAAATTCCAAACAATAAAATATTTTCTAAAATTATACAGACAGTATACATACACACAACAACATCTCCTTTATAGCAACAACATCCTGCAAGGGACTTTCATTACCAACTGATTTCAGTCATAAACCCTTTTCGTGCCCATATTTTAAATCACAGCGCCTACAATGTTCGCTCAACTAAATTTGAAAGGATTTGTTGGCAAATTGTTTCAATGGTCACATTCAACTGCTAAGGATTAAACTCCTGTTGCTGTTGTTGTTGTTGGATTGTTTTCGTTGCAGCATAAAGGATTATTATATCGTTAATATGCGGTTTGTTGCATAAATAGAGCTTTTAGAAATTCCTCATGTCCGCCGGAAATGCTGCCACATATTTTTAATGTTTGTCCTTTGGTATACAATTGCTCTTTTGTTGCAATTTTTCAACGTTTTGAACCCCCCAAACGATTTATGCAGTTCCTAAAAAGTGAAGACCAAAGGTTGCATAAATTACATAGAGAATAGTAATTTTTTGTAAAACTACGACTGAAGCAGTTGGAACCAAGCAGAATAGTATAAGGAATGATAAAACTAGTATTTTAATCCAGAATTTTTAATAATCGGTATGAAAATATGGAATTGAATTTTTAATTCTAAAATTGAAATAAGTAATATTTTCATATAATTATTTTTTGTAAATATTATACTTTCATACTATGGTTTCTGAAATATTTTATTAAAGTATTCGAACTGTTAAGAACACATTTTCTTGTATATATGTTACATTATTTAATGAGATATTTAAAAATATATCATAATATAAAATAATACATATATATATATATATATCTTATTAACGGATTATAGTAATCCTCCATTTCAAATTTCAAAAACGGGAACTTAACTGTCAATATATACTCGTAATAAATATTAATTACTCATATATAGCGACTGTAAGTGCTCCGTCTTAAAAATCTCTCGTATAAGTGTTCCTCTTCCTAAAAAGTTCCGGTTATTCAAACGATAGACTTATTTATATCGTACAGTTTGACTTTTAGTGCCTTTGAGAACAAGAACTGTACCAAAATTGATTATTTTTGTATCTCGTAATATATTTTATTTTTTAAACTTGTTTTATTAGACAATTTATAATTCATAATTTAATATTTCAAAATTACAATAATTATAATTAAAATTAAAATATCGTGTAACGACTGAGTTTGCTGATTATAGCGCACATACTGAATAGCGAGTTTTTTAGTTTCCACCAGCGATCTGTTGTGGAACGTATTCAAGTCTGCTTTCCTACATATTTCTTATTTCTTTTTATAAATCTTCTATACAAAAAATTTGAGCCTGTTGCATAGATTTTAGGGTTGCCAAGCATTATTTATTTGGATGTCAATTTTAATAAGAAAAATATGCACGATTGCTTACAGTTTTTTTAAACCATGAACAATCCTCCTTTTTAACATTGATCCAATTCAGTTACAAATACCTTTTTTTATTAGTATTATTTATTGTATATTTGTATTTTATCTATTATAACATTACTGTAAATATATTATTTCTTTCCATTTCAAATCTGTTTAATATACTTAACAATTTGTTTGAAAAAATAATCCACACTTCCTACAATATATATTTTAATAATTTGCTTTCAAATAAAATGATATTATCCTACTCACTTTGATTCTATTGTTAATATATTTCAAAAATTATTTCAGTAATTAACTATAAATTAAAAAAAAAAACCTTTCCAATGAAAATCTGAGTAACTGTATTAACAATGGTAAACTTTTTAATTTGTAAGAAACAATTTCGTATGTAACGATACTTATCTTATTAGACTAGCAGACATGATGAACGGCCTAAAGAACCATGGAAATCTGATGGCACTATGCCACAAATAGAAATTGCAGAAAAGACAGTAAATCTTGGTTCAGCGACAGTTGGTCTTAAAAATCAAACACATGCAGTTTTAATTGCTTTTCCATGTAATGAGAGAAGAGCTTTTCTGTCACGTTCTAAAATTTATGTCGTTGATCAAAATATTGGTGCATCTATAGCAGGTTTGGGTGCAGATGGACGTAAAGTTATTGATTACATGCGTGCTATTTGTCGTCAATTCAGAAAAGTTGAACATGCAGATATCTCACCAAATAATTTAATGGAAAACATAAGTGAATATATGTATGCGCCAACAGTAAATAGCAATTGTCGTATCTTTGGTGTAGGTCTTCTAGTTGTTGGTTCTGAGGACACAAATCCATATGTATACGAAGTGCAAACAACTGGAGAAACTTCAGACCGTGTTGCATTTGCAATTGGTTTCTGCTCTTCAGCTGCAAACATTTATTTGAAAAAAAATATAAATAATATTCTTAGTTCGAATTTAGATTGTCTTATTATGTACGGTGTTACCGCTTTGAGACATACATTATCTGAAGACGACCAGGAAAATATAACAAAAATGCAGGTATCTTTCTATCTTTTTTTTTTTTTAATTTAGGCTTTGTTTAATTTAATTTAATAGCTCAATGGATGTATAAAAATGTTTATAAAGATACTAGTAACATTCGCTGGCATTTATTGTTTGTTATACCAAAATGCATTTTCTTCAATTCAAGTTATAATTGACTAACTGCGTATAAATTTAAACAAATCTTAATCATTTTTATTAAAACAATGTCAAATATTTTTAAATATATTTTTCTTTACATAATTAGAATATCAGTATTGGTGTTGTTGGGAATAAACAACCTTTCCGAATTTTGGATAAATGCAGAACTTTTCGATATTTACAAAATCTAACTAGAGACGATTAAAACTGTGATATGTTATCGTGTATTGTGCACAAAATTCAAAATAAACAAACAACAAATCTTTAATTTAATTTTAAAGTACATTATATAACATTTTCTTAAAACATTTTAATAAAAACTTTGATATCTATTAATGATTTTATAATCGTGTATTAAGTAAGAAAATTTGCACATAATTACTTAATCTTTTGTTTCTAACACTATTCCATTAATATTCTAAATGCAACTATAAATTATAAATAAATCAATAACACATAATTTATGTACAGATTGAGCTATTCAACATATTAAATAAAAATACAACTAAATTACTATGGCTTAATAGCGAAAGAAAAAGACGTTTTTGTATAGTTTAATGCAAGTACTAATACAATTCATGAATTTAATATATAATTCGTTATATTGTTTATATATTACATTATTTGTTAATATATTATAATGTTTGTTTTATAGATTTGATACATACTTAAGCAAAACTTGACAATATTAGTTCATTCGTTTGGTATACAAAACTTCTTAATTTTAATTTTTATTTAATTCATAACATAGTTTTCGATAATGTTTTTAAAACATAATAAAAATGATCGCAAATTTTTAATAAGAAACCAGATGCAAAGTATAAACTATTCTCTCTATTTGAATATTTAATAAAATGAAATAATTGTTATCTGGCAACTCTATTCCCACATATTTCTTTGTTTTGCTAGTTTTCTTGATGTCATGTCAACATTAATTGAGTGCTAATGTTCTGCTCACTCAATGTGGATCGTGTTGCTCTCCCTATATAATTCAATAAATTTTTAATAAGCAGTTTCCATTGATCTTTGGTGTGCGGTGGAATTGTGTATGTTTATTTTGTTTGTCTGGTGTAAGTTTTGTTGTATGAATTATAACAATATAATATATTAATTAGTCAAAATGTGGCTAAAAAAAAAGTTAAATACAAATATAAAAAATATTTAGGTTAAAAATTGCAATATAATTCAGAAGTTACCGAAACAATACAAACGAGAATACTCGAAGTTGCCTTGCGGAATACAAATCGTATTAAACAGTGGCATATGTATATGCATAAATTAATAAATTAAAAGTGCTACCGGTATAAAAAAACAACAACAAAAATTGGTACAAACATTAAGAGCATGTTGGAATAACATTTTTATAAATTATTTTGTTTAATGTTGCAATATACAAAAATGTAATTTTACTTTGTGTATCTACTTCAAATATTTGACCTATGACCTATGACCTATGACATGGTTGCCAACTTCGGTCTTAAAATGTGTAGTGAAAATTAGAGCAAAAAAAAAGTGATTAAAAAATATAACAATACTTTATATAATATTAAATATAATAACTCTTCTGACAATTTTTATTTTATTAAATATTTGTTAATTTTTTTAAAAATATCTGAAAATAAATTAACTTACTCAAAAGCAATTTATTACTCCTTATGTGTGTTGGCAATCATCTTTATTTCACTCTGCTTTCCTGTTTTGTTTGATCTTCTCACTTCGTTCTCCCACTCATGCAAAGGCATTTTTGTGGTTCAAATTTGTATATCAGCAACAAAACCAGTTTTCCGCTATTGTTTTCAGCGCCACTTTTATTCTTTTTTTTTTTTTTATTAAATATCGTTTTTAACTTTTATTTTTGTGTGAGCACAATTAAAATATATCACCAAAAATATTTTACTTCATTAAAATTCAATTAAATTTTCTTATAAAAAAGTTTACTACTTGGCATCCATATAAGATTTCCATTAAACCCAGTATTTTGGAAAGGAAAAGGAACGAAAAAAATTTGTCAAATTAATTCGTTTTAAACCCTTTTTCTTTCTAATTTAAGAAATAAAATGACAGCTGGTTTTTTTCCTGATATTTTCGAGCTACAAATATCCCAATTGACCGACCATCTTGGATTGTTGATCCAAGATGTTGAAGATTTGAAATCTGGAATTCAGAAACTCTTTATAGAGATTATAAAAATGTAAACTGTAAAGACATAAAGCTTGTTATACAATAGCTTCGGTTATCTTCCTTCAATTAATGGATTTAATTCTTCTATAATCTATTTTCGAAGCCATCTTTTACTAGGTTAATTTATGCTAGTTGTATGTTTTTAGGTTAATAATATATATGGTATTGAAAGAAAAAACATCGACTACTTTAGAAGAATAAGTGTATATAAGTAGTTTCTGAATTTTGACTTAAATACATAAATCAGTCTGTCATATCTAATATATGTATGTACCTATATGGTATAAATTTTATAGTAATTTAAATAAAAACTTATTTCCCTAAAATTGCAAGTTTGCTTCCCAAATAAATTATTGTTATCTAAAGCTAATGTTATTATTTCGGGTCATGCTTTTTTCAATTAGCTCCGATTTAGGCGAGAGTTCACATCTATCGGTTGAAAATAAGATAGTTTATAGTTGCATATTTGACAGATTCTAACTTTTCAGACCCAATAAACAATTTTAAAAGCGCTTTAAGCTTTCTTTATTGCTAACAAAAAAGTTTTTTATATCTAATAACGTCTCACTTAATATAATAATTTGTATATAAGCCTGACCTTTTGAGCAGACATTTTTATTGTTTTTTAAATCCCTTTTTAAAGGGCTTTCAGTACGGTTTATAGTTCACATTAACCTCTTAAGTATTTACCATATGCAAAGTGGTGGCAAAACCCATCCGTCGTCGACACTCTGTCGCTTTAACGGCTGTGTGATGTATTAGATCATGACTTTTAAATTGTGAATCTGCACTATCTGAAAGTTATTTTCAATAAGGCATATATAAAGGTCTTAAGTATAAATACAAAAAAAAATGCTGTTTATACTAACGTTTTTCAAGCCGTCTACCCGCATCACCGATTCGTAAAATCATTTATTTCTCTCTTTAATATTATTTTATGGGAAGATATTGATCTCGTCACCGATTTGTAAAATAATTTATTTTTCTCTTTAATAATATTATTTTAAGGGAAGATCTTCGCAAAACACATATTTAAATGGTCCTTGCAAAATAAATTCAATTTAAAAGTGTTAGTTATTTTAAGACAGTAAAAGTTCTTGATAATGGGTATTTTATTAACAGAAAGTATAAGTAACTTCAAACAATCGATTAACAGACTGAATATGTGAGATTTTATAGAATCTGGACATATTGTTCACATCATGCAAACTGTTGTTAAATTATTTTTGTGCTGAACTTTTTGATAAAAGAATGGAAGTGTCAAAGTTGTGTAGGCGTCTATATACAAATGGATCACGCTTTATTAAGAAGTAATCTTATACTCTCATTGAGTATGATGATGGTGTGCTTACAGGTCAACTGATTAGGGAATCATGCTTAAAGTTTGAATCTACCTTTTAATTATTCCTATCCTTTCCTTTGCGGAAAAGATGATGATAGTGCCTCACTTCTGCTTTGTTTCTGCCCGGCGCCACTTTATTATTTTAGGGTTCTCTTTTTTGGAGGATCTTGGTCGAGACCTCAATTTAATGGGATCTACCATCGCGCACCTGGACTTAAGAATTATATCATGTCCATGTTAAATTCATGTTGACCACATGGAATTAAATCACAAAAAGTTCTTAAAATAGTCTAAATTTTATAGTTCCCCTATTCCGGGTAATAAAGTATAAAAAATTTAAAATTTCAGCTTAATTAACATGCAATAACTAAACTTATATTGTAAGAACAAACCAAACAAGTGAAAGAAATAAAATAAAAGTACAAATAATAAAATAATTGAAATAAAATTATACATCGAAAATGTTTTCTTGCACAAAAGCCTCAATGCAGTTGAGGTTATGGTCACCACCATTCAGGACATGCAAAACTTTTTATGTCCTTTCAACGTTCCTGCTAACGCTGTTGTTATTTTGCGTACAGAACATTAATTGTGATTATGAGAACACATGGAATTTTTACTACGAGCAGCCGTGCTGTGGCAATGAACCAACGAATTATGCCAAACATAAAAGAGGTAAAGCACATAAATAAATTTTTCCATATAAACTACACCTTTCCTTACACACTTTACACACTCCTGCCATACGAAACGAGACAGTTCTCCCACGTATAGGTACGACCGAATGCATAAATACATCCTGCATGAACCTAACAGGATCACTTCCAAAGCACTTTAATCCTTGAAAAAGTTTATATTTAATAAAAATTTTAATCGCGGCATTAAGTGCGCTTTTCGATGATTCATGCGTAAATGTGCATTCGGTTAATAATATTTTATGATTTATTGTTTATTTTTTTTTTTTTTTTTTTTACTTACTTTTCAATTATATTTATTATTTTTATTATTTTCATTATATAAATTTTTAACATTTCCAGTATTTTTATTGTTCAAATTGTTGTAACTTTTTCCAATATAAATTTATCGTTTAATACTTTAATTGTATTTTTAATGCTTCTTTAATCGCCTTTATTGTGAATTATATTTCACGCCACTGATTTAAAAGTTGTCACTAAATATTGTTTTTGTTTCCCATTGTATTGGCCGATGTTTGCATTACAAAAAGTTTACACTGCGTTCACACTGCGTTCACACTCATGTCCTGTAAGGACTAACATCGACTGCACATTGTGTACTGTGTACTGTGTAACTGTGTAAGTACTGACGCATTTTTAATTTTATTCGTTTTTATGGTAATTAAACAATATTTTCATTTAATATATAGGAAAAGTTTAGTGAATATATAAAGTTTTGTTTAAAGTTTTTAAAAAAAGGGTTAAGGATAAAGTGTTTAGTATGCCCTCCAACTATAATTTTTTATTAGACCACACACAGAACTTGATTATTCATTAGAAAGTTTAATGAATAAGTATAGCTATTGAATCGAAAAAAAAAGTTTTGCAATATTTTACATTTATTATTTTTAAAGCATATATAAAAATTAAAAATGAATAAGTTAAAATATAATGTTTTTAGACAATTCCTTTGAACGACGCAGAGAAAAAGGACAGAGAACTATATTAGGAAGAGCTACCAAGGCTATCACAATCTAAAATGCTTTTAGAAACATAC